ATGTAAGCACATATAAAAAATATATGCATATACATATTTAAACCGAATAAAGCCTCCGAAAATGCAATTATGAAATATGGACCTTCCAGAATCAGATTAAATAACGTCATTACGGTATAGGACTTGAGATGAAATATAAAGCAAGAAAATTAAAAAAAATAGGGAATATCACCCAGGCGGTCGAATTAACTCAGAAGGAAAGCAAAGGCATTTCGCTTTCCAAAAATGCAAGGAAATAAAAATATTCCCAAGCAGAAAACTTTGCGGAGTGGAATGGAAGTTCGTGATCAGTGTTTTCCAACAATCTGCAGGCAAGTGTGTGGATGGGTGCGGATGTGCATTCATGCATGCAAGTGTGTTTGCTATTTTTCATACGTTGGCCCCAGAGTGGACCAAGGGACGCGACTGAATGGTACGCGAGCGGGACTATACACGTGAAACTGCGCTCATCTTGTCTATCGAACCAGGAGGATAGCATTCTAGAAGCAGAGTCCTCCGCACCGAAATGATTAGTAGTGCGTGAAGTAGTGGAAAATGAAGTGCAATCTTGCCTCGCCCCCAAAAGGGTTTGAGGGTTGTAGATATGGATGGCTGTAGAGTGGATCAAGTTCAAGGAGGTGAATTTCCGGGGTCAGCAGACAATTTCGGAAAAGGAGTTGATTAGGGTAAGCAGAACAGGCTCTGGGGCCTGGGTTCACCAGATTAAGCATTTGTGAACTTTTATGGTCAGTTTCGATCTGATAATGGCAAGTCGGATAAAATTGTCACTATAATAAGCCTGGCAGAAATGTTTGGCTTTGTGCTGGCTCTCATTCAATCAAGTGCGCTCGTGTGTATAGGTCGACTATAATGTTTGAGCTTTACATGAGACTTATACGTCAATGCATCGGTCTTTCAGTCTAGTATGGTAGAGCCTTATTCGTCTTCATGAAGATGGGCAAGTTAGCCAAATCGAAGTGGAAGTTGGGGGATGAACAGACGGCGAAAATCAGACTGCCGTTTGGTGCTCTGAAGATGACGTGAACAAAGGACTATGGCTGCTGTAGCTGGACGGATCGGTGTGATGTCCCGGCAGCACTGCTGTGGCCGGCATTAGCATGGGCGAGTTCATCAGAGCCCCGGAAGTAGGCAAGCCGAAGGAGGGTGCATAGGGAGGGGAAATAGCAGAGGTGGGGACACTGATCGGAAACGCACGGTGGTTG